GAAAAAAATAAAAACATAGCGATAAAAAGCCATTTATCTGAAAGCCATACCCAAAATTATATTTAATTCGGTTAAGCCGTTGTCCTTAAATTCTGTGCCCAGTTTTCTCATTTTTATCGCTGGTACACAGGCCTCTTAAATCAGAAATTGTGTGAGCAGCTGAGGGACTGGCAAATTGAGAAATTTGTAGTAAATTAAATAATGAAGCAGATTCTTTCGAAAATTTTATTTGCGTTAAGGAAGGAATTTGTTAGTTTCTCAAAACTTTCGTTGCTCTCCGTACAAAAGCTACTTTTTCTTTTTTCAACATGTATAAAGAAAACTAAGAATAATTCAACAAGTTTTAATTATACATAAAGTAAATGCAAGACCATCCAATTCACTAGAGCGTTAACCCCTTCTCTAAATCAATACAAAATCGGTAATACTGTACTGCAAAATGTCACATCTGTGAATGATCTAGGGGCGATATTTGATATGGAACCCGAGAATAACGATCAAGGAGAAGCGACAGCTTGGTGTTTTTAGTGTACCGTTTTGTAACGCGCATAAATAAGTTGTGTTTCACTCAAAATGATGTTATCTGTCAAAGTCAGTCCAAGTTATGTTTAGTACGTGAGCTATGTTAAGTGATATTTTTTTGTGTTTGTTTTGTGTAGTAATAAGAGGAAGATTTTTTACACACTTAGGTATTCTAATGCAGATATAAAATGTGCCAAAAAAGTTTCTAGGAAACTAAGAATTTTATCACATGCATAAATATTAAGTATAATGATTTAATCATTTTTGACATTTTATTTTTCATATGTAGGTATTGCATTTTGTGAAATAATGTTTTCTTCTTTTAAATAAATTTAATAAACAATGAACTGGAGATTTTATTTTATTTTGAAATTATATTTAAAAAATATAATAAATCCGCGTGTTTCAAATAGGATTGGTCAAAATGGGCGAAATCCCTTTATTATGGCTAAATTGTAAGGTACAATTATGTCAATATAAAGATGTTTTGGCCATTCATATTTACATTTATTGAATGAATCATACTGGAGTTGATTTTGGAAATATTGGTGCATACTTAAATAAGTACTATTTCAAAAAATTCGTCTATGCCCAGACAACACACATAGTCCAATGCCCATACAACACACCAAATCCCAGAGATATCCGCAGAATATCTTTTGTGGATATCCAATATATCCACAGGATATCAGAAATATTCGGTGGATCTAATATGGATATCCAAATGTCCGTTTATATCCAGGATATAGAAGATATCCTAATGGATATTCAGCAAAATATCTAATGGGTATCTTCCAGAAAATACAAGAAATCACAGAGATATCCACAGAATATATTTTGTGGATATTCAATATATCCAATATGGATATCCTACCAAATGTCTATATCCCAGGATATAGAAGATATTCGGATATTCACCAAAATATTTTATGGATATCTTTAGTAGAGGTTCATAAGTAACCAATGATTATTGAATAACGTCGAAAGAAAATAGCAGAGATTAAAAATATTTTCAACACTCTGCCTTTGATTTTGGCCACTAAGGAGAAAGTCATCCTTATTAGGACTCTTCAGCAATAGATGGAAATTCTCGACTCCAGCCTCTAATGGAGTCTGTAGGACAAAAAATTCGATCGAACTCTATTACGGCGGGTCGAGCATGAGTAGATGCGATAGTGGTATCGCCATCTATACTTAGTAAGCAGAATCAAATAACATCTAGTGGATATCCACGATGGTTTGCGTTCGCGCCTAGACTTTAATATATTTAGTGGATGTTCATGGGATATTGAATACACCTTAAAAAAATTAATTTTAAATATCTGAACGGTACTATTAGCCACAATGGCGAGAACAATGGCGTAATTTTTTAATAATTTGTTATATAATTACTATTATTTATGGACATTTGCATGTCTATAAATTACATCTCATGGATATAAAATATATATCTACCATGGACTGGACATTCAGTGGATATTGGGATGTTCAGTAGATATCCAAAGGATTTGGTGTGCTGTCTGGGTGTATGTCCACTTTAGATCTATTTGAGGGTCATATCCGGGCATTTAGTGTACGTCCGTTTATGCTAATTAAATTGACAGCTGAATATTGATACCCAGAGAACGTCTGTTTTTGGACTTAATTTTAAGTTTAGTAGTATTTTGACGTCCAGTGGAGGTCCATCTTAGGTCATTATTTATTAAGCCTACCAGATAATACTCATCTATAATAAATACTTCTTTTTTTTAATATAACTGGTCATTAAAAATTGACAAATTGAATCTATTGCATTTTATTCTATCAGCGGAAGTTTGAAATCTTATTCAATTATAACTGTATCTAGTAAAAAGTTGTCAAGTGCTTCCTTGGTCGAGCTCGTCTAGTAATTGAAAGCGTAAAACGATAATGGATGTGTCGTGAGTTCGATTCGTGCTCAGGTCAAGCAATTTTTAATAAAAAAAAAATAAATGGTGTATAGCGGTTTGCGAAAATAATAAACAAATTATTAATAATATAAAATAGTGTATGGTAAGTTGCGGTTCTGTAAAAAAAGTGAGGATGTGGTCTCAATGGAAATATAATCCTGGACGTTTTTTGAATGTTCAGTATTCGACGTCCAAATATATTCCAGAATTGAACGTCCTCTGAATGGTCAAAAGTGTGCCATTTGTATACTTCACTGGACGTCTATTGGATGTCGGAAGTCCAGAAAAAACTCATTCTTGGACGTCTAGGCATCCAAAATTTTATATCGAATGGACGTCCAATGGACATATTTGTATTGTCTGGGTGATAGCCAGGCCAGGTATTTAACTCTAAATACATAAACCTTAAATGACATCTGGCTTAACTTGGCGAGAAAACACTTGTTTATACAGAAATGAGTGATAAACTTGAAAGTCCTTTTAATATAATATAAATCCAGAAATTCTAAAAATATGTAAGTTCTTTTTAGACCTGAAAGTTTTTGAAAATATAAGCACATTGCAAATATTTAGTTAAATATCTCAAACTTGTCTTTTTAATTGTTACCTAAATTTTTTTTGGCACCCTTAATTTTATTTGCCTTATTTTTACTTAAGGAAAAGGTAATTTAATTTAAATATGGGGCTTTTATTAAATTTTTAACAATAAATAAACCAAATATTGAACAAATTTTATAGATAAATTATAAAATAATAAACGTTTTTTACTTTTATAATAAATAATTAATTATTACATAATGAATTATATTTTGGTGCCGAAATTTCACCATTGCTATTAACCCTAACTACTTCAATGTAATTAAATCACATTACAACATTTGCACATGGACTATAACAATGATTTCAAATAATTTGCCAAACTATTTCGCTCAGTGTAGAAAATAAGCATGTTTTCTCAGCGTGCTAAGTTGTGTATCAATCAAAGTCATGCTGTGAAAAAGGTACATCCGATATCAAAGGCACCGACAGCTACTGTCGCTTCTCCTTGATCGTTATTCTCGGATGGAACTGTCCTTTCGAGAACATATTGATTCCATTATCTGTAAAGCTTTCCGAATGCTAGGCTTTATTAAAAGAAATACTCAACATATGTATGATACTAAAGCAATCTTAACATTATTTAACAGCCTTGTTAGAAGCATTCTTGAATATTGCTCTGTCGTATGACATCCTAATTACACCTGCCACATAGAGAGGATAGAACGAGTTCAGCGTAAATTCACTAATTATTTGCTGTTTAAACACCACTGTCCCTACCAAAACGTTGGTTACGAAAGTAGACTGCTTTTATGTGGTATGCAAAGCCTAGAAATCAGAAGAAGACATGCACTAGTTCTGTTTAAATTAATTAACGGTAAGATTGACTGTAGCGCCCTTTTACACTTAATTAGCTTTTTGGCACCTACTCGACGTACACGTCATACTTCATTGTTTTTCATCCGAAGACATAGAACCAACTATGGACAAAGAGCATTTATTGACCGTATGTGCCACATATACAATAAGTTTTACTCCGACTGTGACCTATTTAACACAACACTGTATGCGCTAAAGAGTAATTTGAAACTGTCAAAATATTTTTTTTTGTTTTTTTTTAGTTTTATGTAATTTTGTGAATGTGATATTTTTGTGTAGGTATTCTACATACATGTATTAATTGTTATTTTTTTAACTCTGTGTACCATTTAGAATAATAATTCTGTAGTGTACCTATTTGAATAAATAAAATAAATAAAAATATTTTCACTTGTTCCTCGGTTATGCTAGCGATTGCTCGGCACCCTCCAGCGCGGGGGATCGGCAGGTAATCGGTTACCCACAAACCACAACAAATACCAATATTGCCAACAGTAAATTTTAAAATATCTTTAATGTTATTGGTCATTTCGATATATTCGTGAACTTAATATCAGACATACGTGAAACTACTGTTTCCATGGGAATATCTATTCCGACAAGTTCGAGAATAGCATAACCTATTATCATGAGAATATAAGTAGTGGAATCTTTTCGCATGGGAAATTTTTTCAATGAACTCGCGAATCGAGCACCTTGGGCCTACGTTCAAATCGAATATGCTTGTTGTTTCGCAACTATGTACAGAGCCGTACCTAGTTATGTTACAGTTTGATCTAAAACGCATACAAAAGAACACTTGATTATAGAACATTATTAACAATAACTCATAAGTTATTGACGATATGAGATCTTGAACTCCAAATTACTACTCACAATACGGATTCTCTATTACAAAGCATCTTACGTTATGTATTCTTGATTATATAACCACCATATTTTACTATCCCAATAGTAAAGTTTGATTTTATATTGTGAAAATTAAAATTTATTTTTGGCTTTAGCTGAAAGTTTTATTAGATAGATAAATTGTTTGATTATTTGACTCGTAGTTTTTTTGATGGTCAAGAGATTCAGTTCATTATTTTAATTGAAGTATATTTTTTTACATTATAATTATTAATTTAAATTTGATTAGCTATATTATTATTTATTAAAAAAATAGTACAAGTATAAAAAATATGTAAACAAATTAATACAAAAATGAATCTAGTGAAAATAAAAATAGGAATAAAACTTCACAAACACACACACACAACCTCACAAAATAATAATTCTACAATTATTCGATATAGTAGTGTGATTGTGAAACATCAGGTGTTTACAAACGTGTCATTTTCATTCTTATATTGAACAGTTTCATTAATAAGTTGATTTTCTTTTAAACATAGGTTTGATAACTTATGTTTCACTTAAAAGTTAAGTACTTTTTTCTTTGTGCTTGAGTTTCATAATCACACGATCCAAACAAAAATTTTAAGTATACATACATAGAGAGACTATTGCAAGTGTATTGCACAGTCTCTGCACTTCATTCGCTCTATCCGGAAAACTGAATTTAACAACATCCGTTACTTTCAACAATTTGTTGTTGATATCCTTCTGTTTATTATATTCCGTAATCAAATCGGACTCTTTCCTGTATACAGTGTACGGCGTTCTATTCTCGGCAATAAGTGAATACATGCTGGCCTTTTTCTGTTGGAACACCAGCAATTCGAACTTAAATTGCCTGTTGTTTATTGAATCATCCAATTTTTTCTTGAGCATATTCTTGTACTCCTTATCTAATACTGGTTCCTTTAGTATCAATTCTCTTTTACTGTGTGCTTCTTCAATATCGTTAGTTATTTGCTTAAATTTGTTTTTTATGGATTGCGTTTCGTTCTTAACTTGCTTTATTTTGTTTTTTAAGTTGTCGAGTTTCTTCTGAACGTTTATTTTGGATCTGTCACCGTTTTTCTGAAAAATAGTAAACCTAGAATAAAATGCTTCACACAACTTCAAAATTTTATAAATTCACAAATAAACATCATCCCAATAACCGAATCCATGTTCTGGCATGACTTAGCCACCATTTATTTTGTTCCAAAGATAGATAGTGTTGGATACACAATATTAACTAAACACCCTGTATTATACTTTTTATAATTTTGTCATATTGTCAGATTTTATAAAATAAATAAAAGTCAGTTTGAAGAAGTTTAAAACATAATTTCTATTATATTGTGTGATATCTGAAATTCCACGAAGCTCTACAGATAGGTCTACAAATAAATATTCCTCAAGCGAGACCTATTGAGAAATGTTGGTCCCATTTAGTATGTGATGGTGACTGGAAAATTAAAAATAAGCAGTTAAAACACAAAATATTTTAGAAAATTCGAGAAGTCGACGTTGCTACCGTCCAAAGGTCCATTTAAGAAACAAATTACGTGCCATAGAAGAGCAAGGGCCTTTATTCATCACGTTATTGGTCAGTAGAATTGAAGATGTATAAGAATAAGTGCATGCTGTTAAAATGTAAAAAACTAAAAAGTAAAATAAAACATTTGACTTACTTTTTTCCGAAAACTTTTAACACATATGTTACGGGAAAATTTTTATTTAGAAAAGAGAAATGTCTTCTACGACGGTTGAATTTACCTCAACGCATACTGAACACATACCTTTAGTTTGTCTGTTGCATGCCTCAATTCCGATTCCTGATATATCATATTCCTTTTTAAAACCGTTTGTTGCAGATCTTTAAGCAATTTTTCTTGAGCTTTCTTCAGCTGCTCGTAAATCACTTGCATCTTGTGTATTTCCATTCGCATGTTCGCAGCATCTCCGCACTTTTCGTTAAATCGCAAATTTTTCACCGCGTCTCTAGCCAATTGAAACTTTTTCTCCCATTCCAAACCTTCTCTATTTATAGCTATCAATTCTTGGCTAATGGACAGTTTTTCCTCTTCTATATCGGCTATTTCTCCTTCTAATTTAAGCAGCTCGAGTTCTGCGTCTTTTAACTTGAAGTCGTACTTACCCTACAAATTAAAATATAATTTTTAATTTATTTAACCACTTTTTAGTTATTATAAAAAAGGTTCATGGAAAGTCAAACATCAATAGTAGTCCAATTAAATAACGAAAAAAAGCCCCTTCGAGCTTACATTAATTTGTAATTGGATGAAACAAAGTGTACCTTATGTATTTTGATGTGATCTTTCCGAAAAAAACAGCTGTTGTTCAATTTTTTTTAAATTAGGAAAAAACCGGGTTTTCCGGAATTTTCCATGGTAAAAATGATAATTATCTGGGCAAGTATCATTCCGATGGTAAAACTAAATGCACCAATCGAAAGAGGAGGCAAAAGTAGTTCGGAAATTCTTTGCACAGGTAGTTTTAATGGCGAATTTCTCGCCGCCAGAAGTGCTTTTACCAAAAAGTTGTTTTTTCGTTTCTTTGATCAGAACCATGGACATGAAATTTGCGATGAATTTGTGGCGAAATTATAAATGTTATACATATGTGCTCATGAAAGAAGTTGCGTATTTTTTTGTTGGCTCTCAAATAAAATAAGTCCCCTGCAAATCTGCCATAATTTTTCGGGCGTTCGCATAATCCTAAGCCTAAGTGTAAGGTCCAACTTGGTGATAAGCTTGTTTTTTGTTCTCTAACACCTGGTTTTTAGTTATTCACAAGAAAACTTGAAATGGGAGAAGATATATATGCATGACAAAAATACGTATTTTCTAGTTACGTTCCGAATGAGACGGGTATTTCATTATCAGATGGCGGTAAAAATTAGCAGTGGGCTCTAGGGCTATTATGATTTGATTTTGTATGCGCCAGGGATACAAATTCGAGTTGCCCAATGTATAAACTGGAATACTGAGATCAAAAGTGCCGACGCAGAGTGAGCGAACTGATTCTTTAGCTATAAACTGTGCCATGGTCCAGATCCTCCCCATTAGTTCCAACTAAGTCCCAGTAATCAAGTTATTCGGGGCGAATAACTAGAGAGGAGGGAGCAATGTTACGCAGCACCCTGTAGCATGCTGCGGTCGTCATAAGTAAAGGTACGAGTAAATAAAGAAGATAAAATAGTCCAGAAATGTCTCGAAATGTCATTCTTTGTCAAAGAAAAGTCCGGATTGTTCGAGAAGGTTCTAGAAGGTCGAGGCAAGCTATATAAGTCGACGACCTGACGCCAGAGTTCAGTTTTATGATAGACGTTAAACGTTCATGTTATCAGTTGGATAGTTATTGTTAAAGTTGAATTGTAGTTATTGTAAAAGTTAAATTGAAATAAATTGTGATACCAAAAACCTGCGTAACAATAAATACAACGATTAAAAGATGAAAACCTACTTTTGGACTTTCGATAGTGGGCAAAAACATGGTAAAAGTCAAAAGGCTTTTAACTGCTATTGCTCTCAGGTCATCATCACCGAATAAGTTGACCTTTTGTTGAATAACCGGTAAAATCGTTTTACTAGTTTTAGAAAAAAAGAAGAATAATCAGGATAGGGTACATACATGACCTATAAATTTATACAGAATGTGTGTTAAGTATGGAATGCCTCAATTATCTTGGAAACGGCTTGCACGATTTTTATATAGTTTGGTATGTAAAGCTTTTGTAATATGGCCGATATTATGGTTGTATTTACATTGTTGTCAGATCTTTCGGTTTTCTGGAAATATAATGAACTTTGTTATTTTAAACTCCGAGCAATTACTAATAGAGGGAGCGTGAAAACGAGTTTGTAGGCGATTGTTGTGTTAGCAACATCTGTAGAGGAAGTGAGGAAGCGGGCACAAGGGGGAAGGTAAACATCCTTCTTGTTCAGTGGCGTATCATTTATCTATAAAAAAACACATTGTCTAAACGTTTTAATTGTAAAAAAACTAAAAAATTTGCTAATTTTACTATTTTTAAAATGAATACCGTCTTATATGTGTCTAATGCAGGAAATGAAACAAAATCACTGTAAAGGTCTAATTTTTTCAATTGAAAAATAGAACCTTAAAATCAATTTTATTATAAATAAATACAGGAGCGACTAGTTTCGGCCTTACAGGAACGTCTTCAGGCCTGTCATACAATCTTTAATTATTATAATAGGTTGGTCACTTACGAATAACATTAAATAGTATAAACCACAAAAAGATGGGGTTTCTGTTATTTTAAAATTTTTTAAACTGTAATCGTCTCCATGTGTTTAAAAAAAAAATTAAATTTTGACTGCACTCGAAGATGGAAACAAAGTTTTTCGAAACATATGTAGTGCTGTGTTTACGATAGAAAATAAAATTAATGACCGAATAAACCAAGGAAATTTTTATTTATATAAAATTCTGCTACGGTCAGGAAATTATCCTTATTCAAATTAACGAAAATTGTTTAATATTTAACCGTTCTCGTAAGAAACACATTCACGCCACCACAAAACACCAAAAATAATAAAACGTAAAACGCCCAACGAGGCACCGAATTGCTTTTTCCAATATTCCCAACCCAAATAAGAGACCGCAGCCAGAACGCAGCCGTTTCGTGTCGTGATTCGTGATACTGGTGATCGATAGTAGTGACTTGCGGTTAACATGCGACGATCAAAAAATGCCGACTACTCGTAAAATAATACTCGCATTTTACAAGTACATTCTACGAGTAGATTTAAATTTACTTGTAAGTACGAGTAATAAGTACTTCAAAGAAAGTAGTAGTAGTGACAGGATTGATTATTATACTTCTTTCATCGAAATTGCATTTTTCTATAATATTTTCCTCCCCTGAGGTCTGTAATAAAAATGTTCATTAGCATAAAAAGTAATTCAGGTTGAATTCCTATATTTTGAAACCATGTATTTCTTTCTCATATCAAGAAAAGGAAACTAAAAAAAATAACAATAAACTTTACAAAGATGTGATATTAAAATAATAATAAGTAATTAACCTTTACTATAATCATTGTGCAAGACACGGCCTAAAATGCGTAGTTTAAGTGGACTGTATTAAGTGGTGGACAACGACTCGTGGCTGCACATGATGCTTCGATTTTAAACTACTTTGTTAAAATAAGGTTACTGAAAGGTGGGGAAAAAAGGGGGATATGAATAAAATATTACTGTTTATAAATAACTACTATATTCAGTATTGGAAAAAACAGTTAATAATATTTACATAAGAGCCAAGCGACTCAGCACACAATCTGGCAACAATGCTTAATTGACTTAGCTAATAAAATTGTGGTATAATTCACAGGGAAAATTAGGGGCATATCTGAAAGTTATAGGGTACTTCCAGACTTTTTATTATATCAGTACCAAGCTTACATGTAATCCTTTGAACACTACACTTCACACTTTTTATAATAGTACTTTCACTGATATATGAGATGCAATTCTGATATGTTACCGGTTTCTCGTCACCACCGAATTAAAAGCGTTTTAAAAAGAGTTAGGTACTTTGGATTTATTGGGATGTAGGGTATCGACAATGTAAAAGGGTATCTTCACACTAACACACACACGTGATTAGTATAACTTTTTTTAGGGTAAAACTGCTTTATAACTGACGCCGTTCGGGACACATCCGTCCTGTATCGCCAGAAGTAGATAATACCATAAAAAAAATAAATAGGATAATACTTCACCGTTATTTCCCGCATTTTTACAGGGAACCGAGCTGGCGCATATTCATCGGGCATTGAAAATTTGGCGCGGTAAATTTGAATTTAACTACCGTTGAGAATTATTTGAATTCTCAACAATCATTATGAGACGGATGAATAAGAACTTAGCTGGAGTTTACTTGCTCTTAATTTTAATTTTTCGATAAGAAAATAAGAAAGTTTAATTGCAAATTAAAGGTGATTGCCTAATGCACCGCCTCTGATAATTAGGTTGTGTCTGTACTTACTTATGATATTATCTTGAAGAAGCATTTTCAACAGGCCTTTTACACATGAAGCATATTTTCACCATATTATTAGAGATAATAAATCTTAAATATACATTTACAACCCTTACAACGTTATAAATAATAATATTTTCCGTAAAATTCAAATAAGAAATTGACATGTGTCAGAACTGGCGCTGTCAAACTTGGCAACGCTGATTAAATAAGCCAATTACAGAAGATGTATTTTCCCTCTTGGGGGAGTAGATGTTGCTAACAAAATTTAGCGCGGGGAAGGGGGGAAGACCCCCTCTAGTACTAATTGCTCGGAGATTTTAAATGGATCATAAAATCATAACGTATATTTTTACCTGTAAAAATGCATTATCTCTGTCCAAGCAATTCTTTTTAGTCTTCGACTTGTAGACCATATCGCACAGTATCGCAGCTCGGTTGGTAAGTATGTTAATGCTATGTTGAGTTTTTTCTTCGCGATTCTTCAGCGTGTCGATCTTGTCGCAAATCCGAACGTTCTTTTGCTCCAAAATTAACACTTGTTTCTTCAAAAGACTGATTTCGTGGATTTGATCCTGTCGTTCCTTGGACACTGTCAGGATGTTCTTTTGCTCGCGCATCCAAAACACCTGGAGGGTTTTGATAGCTTGTTGGCTTTCGTCAATTAATTTCGTCAAGTCGTTTATCTTCAGTTCCGCCCTGGCGATCGTATCAAGTTCGTTGAGGGCTAGTTTTTGTTCTAGTTTTTCATTTAGCATTAAGACTTGCCTATTGAAAAAATAATTTGGTAAAAAACTAAGTTAATTAACTTAGCAAATAAGGCAAAATATGTTTCTTACGAGCACACTTTAAATTTTTAATTTATGATTTTATACGGAGAACAAAAATTAAAAGCGAAATTCAACTAAACTACCATTGCCACCAGAGATGACAGGAGATTTAACTATTTGTGGGTAGAGAACCAGAACCAAGTGCCAAATCTAAAATTGTTCAGAAAATTAATATTGATAGTCCAGGATCCGTAAGTAGGGTCGACCTTCACCCATCTGTTTAATGGAAAAAACTTATTTTTTATTAAATAAAATATGTTTTTAAATATACTGCAAATGGGTTGCCTAAGAAAATATGGTCACGGTCATTTTTTACTTTCCTTTCTGTGTACAGATAAGGAAAGTATAAAAATCATGATAAAAGTTGTTTATGATGTCATTATCTATTATTTTGTTCCTATACATGATTTTCCTAAAATGGACCTAATTCGAGATATTTGAGGAAAAGTGCAAATTTCGAATTTTGAAGACAACTCAAAAACGGATAAAGAGAAAAACACCAAATTTTAAATTTAAGCTTTAATCCATCCTGCGGAAGTTTGGGCATAGTTGAAGCATCTGGGGAATACTTTACAGGGTGTCGTTTTTTTTTACTTTAAGAAAAAAAAATACTCTGGACCGTATTTTCTTAGGCAACCCATTTTCGCTATATTTATAAATATATTTTATGTAATAAAAAGAAACTTTCATTCATTAAACAGATGGGTGAAGGTCGACCTTACTTCGGATCTTAGACTATGATGTTTAACGTTGGTAAAAAATTATTAAACAAAGTAATTATCTGATTTTTAAAAGTTTAAGTCATTATTCATTTATTTTTTAAGTAACTTGTGCTTATGAGATTTCATATAGATTATAAAAATAAGTAAAATACATTAAACTTTGGATTGCACTTAGAATCGTAAGAGAACCTAAACGTAGAAAACTAGAAGTTTCCAAGCGATAGTTTATTGATAATGAACATAATTTATTAACAAAAATTTGTAAAATTAAATACAATTATTAAAGAAACAACTTTAATTTAAATACGTAACTACCAAAGACATTACAACTAAGAGACTAAATTGTTTACATTTTTATGTGGCAAATCATTATTCCCACCAGATTCTCGTTTATTGCGTCTTTGCCGATTTTATCAGTCTGTCAAAATTATTTGGAGAAATTACTTTCGAAAAATAAAATTTGATGTTTACTGTAACTATAATTTTATATTATATAAATAAAAATATGTTTTTAATCAAATTATTCTTTGAAGTTTTTTTATTAAAAAATCAATATTAATCTAAACAAAATATTAGGGTTTCGAAGAACTCCGTAAATACGGCAACGCTGAAAGACCTTTTCATCATGTGATGAGCGCAAGCGCAGCCACCATGTTGAAATAGCGGTAATTCAAAAGTTTCGTACTGTTTTGATCGACAATGGCTGGGAAAGCAATGTTATCTCTACAGAAAAATTAATCATTAGAAACAATCGTTGATAGTGAATAACTTTTTTATAACTCTGTGGAAGCGCATAGTTGTGAGCAGTTGAAAAGGAGGTTGAAGTGTCTTGGATGTTTGTTACAAAGGAACAAAGTGGACTAATTGAGAGGTTAGGTGTATCAATACTTTTTAACTCTGTAAAAAATTAATGAAAACAAATAATAATTATAACTTTATTCTAATTAATTATGCCAACCAACTATTACTACTTGCAAAACACTTTAATTAGCATGAAAGTTAATCACGAGTATAATTAATAAAATAAATTATTTATTATTTTGAGGATCAACATGACATTTTTAATCATTTAATGTGTATACCGAAGTAGTATTTAATATTAAAAAAATATTGTTTAATACCAGGTGAGAATTTTCTTCTGTTGGACCACTTTCTCCATGAAAATGCAGTGAAATATAAGTATCTTTAGAAACATCATTAATCCATCGAAAACCGTTGTCACTTCGACCATATTTTTTCACACTTAATGCACATTTCAAATATCTTTTAATATGCAGTTAAGGCTTTGGAAAATTTATAAAATAATATCTATTGCCTTTGAATGATTTATACCGTGTGTCACTTTTACATAACAACACTGTTTCGTTGTTCCTTTCCGTACAGATAACATAATTATAATTGATTGTGAAAATGTATTTTTCAATTAAGACACTAAACTTATTATTTGGTACTTTACTTTTTTCTTCCTTTTTTTAAATGAATATAGACTTAAATTAATATTTATCAATTATAATTTTTTTCACGTAAGCATTTTAACATACTTGTTTACAAAAACAGTACGAAAAAGATGGCTGAAACTGACGCATGCGCACAAAAAAAAATTGTGATGAAAAGGTCTATTTATAATTTTTATGATTGAAATGTAGTACCGTAACCAGCCGCAACGTTGCCAATAAGGTCTAACAGCTATTTTAGTATTTTGTATTTCTGACAGTATCTGACAGTTTCTGTGTGACTTATTGATTTATTCATTTATAAAATACTATTTTTGTGAACTTTTGTGAGAAATATAAAGAATTATGGTACATGCATGTGTAGTGTTCAAAAAGGTAGATCATTTAAGTCGAAATGTATGGTTTCATCGGTAAGTATTTTTGGGTTAAGATATGTTGTTTTCATTTGAACCAGTGGAGTAGGGCTTGTACAAGATTTGATACAATTTCTTATAGAATTTAAATAATATAGGATTACATAGTAAATTGTTTGAAAAATGATTATCCAATCTAATTTTTCAGACAATTTACTGCAGGTTTGATAATATACAATTTAAATTGTACAAGAAATTGTATCAAAAACTTGTGTAGTCTAAAACAGTCTTAAAACAGCTTTTAAAGTGATATTCCTTTTATAAATTAGTAAATTTTTCTTATACCAATAAATAATTATTGAATAGTGGCAAAGAAATTTTAACGTAAAATGTAGAATACCTTAAAAATGATTTACCTATTGAGCACCTATACATATTTTTTATTACTCTATTTAGGTTCCCGAAAGATCCTGAGAAAAGAAAACTTTAGTTTTCTCTAATAGGAATCCTTGAAAATCAGCCCCTTCGTAAAAACCCAGAGTTGTGTTTAGAACACTGTTTTCCTGAAAATGTTTTGGTACGTGCAAATGGTATTAGATATATTAGAAAAGATGCAAACTCCAGACGGTGTGAGGGCTTTCCATTTTTGGATGACTTATCCAACAGGTAAATATACAAAATATTAATTTTTTGTTTACCTCTAAACATTATTTATTACCTATATGTATGTATATCTAATGTATGGGTTTTTAGTTCTGATTCAACTGTTTTTGGAACACCACCTGCTGCAAAAAGAAACGTTGCAGTAAGTTATAACATTAATAACTAAGCATAAAAAAATTAAATGAAATTTTAGTTAATAAAATTAAAGTATTTTATATATTTAAAACATTATTTTAAAAATTTTTACAGTTTTTTTAAGATATTTTTTGCCAGATCATGTTTTTTTTGTAATTATTAATTAAAAAATTATATATTTTTAGGACAGTGTTTTATTTAGATACCCCTACCTACTTAATGTTAATTTAAAATTTTAAATAATTTTGGTTAACATCATACCAGGAAAATATATAGTAAATGCCAATAAACTATAAACCAATAAATATTAAAAATCGAAAGGTAACTTGAATTCGCTTGTATTTGAATTTACTTGTACTTGAATTTACCTACATGAAAAATCAGCAAGTATCATGCAAAACTATTGTCATATACTCTGAAGGCAATTCTCTCACCAGAAATCAAATCACGACTGGTGAAAGACTGTCTAGAAGACCTGACAGAGCTAAGTAATTAAAATAAGGTGACCTTAGCCTGGGTTCCAGGCCATGAGGGATATCAGGGCAACGAAAAGGCCGACGAATTAGCCCGAGGAGGCTCAGATAAGGCCATGACAGGCCCCGGACCCTTCTGTGGAGTTGCTAAAGCATTGTGCAAGGCATCCATTAAACAATGGATGCAAACAGAGTCTCAGGAATGGTGGAACAACTATCCAAGACTGAGACAGGCCAAACAGTTCATCGAGGAACCATCGGCCAAGTTCACGAAAGACCTACTGGATCAAAAGCGTCAAATCGTTAGGATAACAGTAGGCCCTCTTACTGGACACTGTCACCTCAAAAGTCATATGAGTGTCATAAATCCAGCAGAAGAAGCAACATTGTGTAGGTTCTGTGAAGAAGAAGAGGAAACAATATTCCACGTCCTGTGCCAATGTGAATGCCTGGCTGGAACGAGGTTTCTAACATTGGGCGAAGAAAAGCCAATTGCATGCAACTATATGTCAAAGCTACTAAAACTAATAAAAAAGACCAGGCTACAGGCTAAACGACATACTCTAAAACAAACAGGAGTCCCACAATAGATCTGAAAAGGTCGCGGTGGACAAGGACAAATAACGTCCAACTCATAATCTAATCTACCTACATGAAAAAATCATCATAATTATATTACTAAAAAAATATACCTACATATTTACGTATTACAATATGACAATATGACAATGACAATACTGGTAAGTTTAAAACTCTACGCCACTGGCGAGCATATTATGGACACTGTTTACAACGTTGCCAGCCGGTCCTAAGAGATCTGTCTTTCTCTCTTCCACTCACTAACAATTTTAAAACAATAACAGTCCGCAATTGTATGGGATTTATGAATGAAACATTTTGTCTATATGTTGTAATGTCTTTGGTAACTACAATTCAAACAGTTTTTATTTAAATGGCAACAACAAAACAAACAAATATATAATGTAAACAAAAGAGAGAAGAATTATTTATTTTTAAATTCTGAAATAGGGGCTTTCATATAAGTTTTATCTTCGAGTGGCATCTATATATAAGCAATTTCTCAATCATATTGTTTTAAAAATTTTTACAGTCTCAATACTAAAGGTTGCATCCGTCC